GTTTCTTCCTCTATACCTCTCTAAATCTAAGTTGAAACTTAATGTTGTGAAATTGCATCTTTGATCTTTCTGAATTGAAGTGTGTTGAGCATATGGTGGACTCCAATTGAACGAAGAGAAAACTGGAACTGATATTGATGATGATTGTTGTAGAATTAATGCTCGCAATTTCTTTCTTCCTACACAGGTAATGGTTACCTGCAATTTCTTTTCAAGATGCTTTTAGAATATAACTAACGTCTCTTTGACAGAATGGAAGGGGAAGAAAATGAATTTGAATGTGGCAAAATAAAGACCAAGTTCAGTGTTTTCTTCTTTATCTCGCTTAAATGGTGCATTTTTTTTAGTTGTTGAGGGAGGAAAATGAAATCTGCCACATGTCAACTGGAGCTCAACTGCTTCTACTAGCGTATATATATTTGAATTATTTTGTACCTATGAACAGGCCCAGAAGTGAAATTTAGAAAGGGAATAGGGGAGAAGCTTGAATATGCTTGCAAAACCCAGAACCAAATCGTTTACAGTTAGTAGTTCTGATAATTAGTTCCTTGCATTAGGTAATCCAAGAAGATAAGATACACATAATTTCATTTCTCCCCCTTCTCTGTATGGAGAATGGAAGGAAATTAAAACCTTTTTAGTACTATGAGCTTTTATAATGATGAAATTTTTATTTTTATTTTCTGTTATAACTACTAGAAGAACATGTAATGTAATTTTTACATTATTGTCTGTTATGGGGGATATTTAGCTGATTCTGAAAATTTAGAGTTTTAGGAAGCTTTATTAAGTTATGAGTTGTACAACTCATTTTGTGTATATTGTGACACTGGGCAGTAGATCTATTTTGAAAAAGGAAAAAGTAGTTGTGTGGTAGTTATATAAAAGTATAATTCTTGATCTACTTCTTTGTTGAGGTAGTTATGATCGTAATTAGCAGTTGTATCCTAAGATGTAAGCCTTAAAGAGGCCACCTATACTAAATATAAATTATGCAGAATATTTCTCTCTTAAAGTTTTTCAAGCACTCAGACTTAAGCAGGTCTTTGGGTTCTGTACTAATGAGTCCTAACATTCTATCACAATAGGTTTGTACGGAAGGAAAGACCGGATAAAATCTGGTTCCACTTTGTCTGATTTCTCTTTACAAGGACCTATAACTAGATACAGTTGGGACATACCATAAAGCGGAAGAAGCTTCTACAAGTGTATCTTCGGAGCATGGATTGCCAGATGACTGTGGGTGGAGGTGCCAAGAGTGGTTCACAAAATCGCCTGCCCTTCATGCAACATGGAGATGTCATTAACATGAAGGTTGGAATCCGTGAGAGGACTCACAGTATTACAGATGTGGCTAGGGTTAAGGAGGAGAGCAAGAAACCTGAATTCGGACCGGGTCAAGCTATTTTAGAAAGTGGATCTCAGCTTATTGCGTGGTGATATGGTGGATTTTCTCTAGCAGACTAAATACTTAATCAAGAAGAACAGAAAGTGGTCTGAAGTTAACAACCCAATAGTAGTTTTTTAGGAAGCAACTTGGAGATAAAATTTTTAAACCATTGATAATCTTATGAAGAAGGGCAGAACCACAGTTGATCAGTGTTTTTATTTGTCCTTTAATGAGTGTCCCTGAACTGTCTTCTTCTTTGGTGCCCAGAAATTCGCAAGTTTTGGAATCAGCTCTTTGTCTTCTCATCTGTCTCGGGTAGTTAGTGCCTCGATTAACGATAAAATTTTTGCTTGGAATTGTATCCTTACCTGCCAGCACTGAAAAAAATTTTTAGCCCTCATTTCCCTCTCTATATTTTGGTTCACTTGGAAATGGAGGAACTGGAGAGCTTTTGATTTCTTGTCTTCCTCTTTTGCATACATCAGGAACCATTGGTTCAGAACCCTTAGTCCTTTGTATAGGGATCATCTTTTTGGTGGATTCATGGCTTTTCCTAATACAGTATAGCAAATTTGATTTTTCTTGTTAAAAAAAAAAAGGAGTTATAACTAAATAAGAAGCAAAATCCTAATTTCAAAAATATAATAATTATAAAAGTTCCTGCTAAAATGTTAAATCTAGTAGTAATCCTACCCTAGTAAAAAGTTAAAACTATGCTAGGATTTTGTGCTTCAAACTCCCACATCTATAGGAAAACCAAATTATTACATCAAAAACTGTCTTAATTTCAATCAATAAGGCAGTAAGCTTTATCTCCTCCTCTTTCATGCCCACTTGTATACAAGCCCACTGAATGTGGTTTCTTGAAATGGTGTATCCTTGTTCTGTTGATATGCTGGGTGGCCCATAACATCCTCCTATCGTTATTTTGTATTAGCAACCTTTACTTTGTTGGATTCATTTCGTCTTGGTTTTATTTGCTTATTGTGCATCCTATCATAACTTTTACTTTAGAGGTTTCTTTTGAGAAAAATGTTCTGCTCATATCAGTTACTGCATTATATTTTTGGTTCATTTTGCTTGAGAAGGAAATTTCTTTTATTGTTTTGCAGGAGAATTGGTTACTTTTAGCCGCAGATTACTCTCAGATAGAGTTACGGCTCATGGCACACTTCTCTGGAGACACTTCACTAATTGAACTCCTTAGTAATCCTCAAAATGATGTTTTTACCATGATAGCTGCAAGATGGACTGGGAGGGTAGAAGATTCTGTTAGCTCCCTTGAGAGGGATCAGACCAAAAGGTTGGTTTATGGCATTCTATATGGAATGGGTGCAAATACTCTTGCAGAACAACTAAATTGCAGTTCAGATGCGGCTAAAGAAAAAATTAAAAGCTTTAAGAGCTCTTTCCCCGGAGTTGCATCTTGGCTTCATGAAGCAGTTTCAGGTTGCCGTCAGAAAGGGTGAGGGTCTTACTCATTCCATATTGCTATTCATAGATTTGCCTCTTTACTGCGGGAAAAAGCTTTAGTTGATGTGTGAATTTGCATTTATGGATAGGCATGGAATTGTCATCCAGTTATCTCTAACTATTTTGTTCTGCAGATTTCGGTGATTAGGAGATGTATGTATGTGCATATACTTCTATGTGCGAGTTATATTTGTATGTGTATATTTTGTGTACGTTTATGTACAATAGCTTACTTAATTCACTGTTATTTAGTTCATAAAATGGAAGATATTTAAAGTGTCTATTAATACATGCACACAAATCCACATATGCGTGGATGAATTCACACATTCCAACACAATTTTCAGAAATCTTATGGTCATCATCAATAACGCCCTTTGAGTTTATTTATTATGTTTTAGTTTTATTTGTGTGAAAGTCCATATGCTATATCGTTAATTTTGGTGCAGTTATGTTAAGACACTCATGGGAAGAAAACGCTTCTTGTCAAAAATAAAATTTGGGAATATTAAAGAAAAGTCAAAAGCTCAGAGACAAGCCGTGAATTCTATCTGTCAGGTTAACAAAGTTTCCCCTCTTTTCCTTTGGTTTGGGTAAAAAGTGCGATAAATCGAAATCTTATGTTGTGCTCTCTTCTTAATAGGGATCTGCTGCTGATATAATCAAGATTGCAATGATAAACGTCTACTCTGTAATTGTTGGAATTGATGGATCAATATCTAATTCTTCTCTTGAGACGAAGTATCATATGTTGAAGGGTCGCTGCCGAATTCTTTTGCAGGTAAATTATTCTACTTCAAAGCTAATTCTTAAGTAAACGATGTGAAAAAATTTAGTGTTGTATGTTTTATTAAATATTAGGGCTCTATATATATATCTTCTTGTGAATCGTAAAAATAAATACATAATTAATTGCACATGTGGGTATTTACTAACGTATCGTTTATCCTAATTATACTTCATATATACTTTCCAACATTCTCTCTCAAGTTGGTGAGTAAATATTATCCAACCCTAACTTGATAATAATTGTTTGAAATTCAAGATTGCTCAGCCCTTTAATCAAGTTGTAAGGTGTTGGATATATACAGTGTACATATCAAACTACTGTTCATTTTTTTAAAAAATAAACTATTCAGTTTTACTTGATGAAATGTTTGTCAATTTCAATGTTTTTGGTCTTGTCGTGTTATACTAAATCGAGGATAATATATACTTCCCATGCTCTAGGGGATTGCTTGACTTGTAAAGTGCATTTTTTAGGTTACACACTTTATTTCCTCCTATTTCTTTGGTAAATCCCAAAGGGAATTTGCATGTAGATTTCTTCTTCTAACTCTTCATGCAGAAAAATATTTTTTACATTAAATTGTTACAATTGACAACTAAAATTTAGCCAAAGATAATAGTATATGTACTGTATTCATTTTCGCAACAAGTTCAAAGGTATCTTGGTAGTCAACCTCATAAGTTTTATGTATACCTTCTGGCCACTAGTCTTGCTTTGTACTTTTCTATCGTTCTATCAGGTTTGTACTTTATAGTAGACACTCAATTGCACCCTATAGATCTCTTTCCTTGTTGTAAGTCCATTTCTATATCTGGTTCTTTTTTAGCACTTATATTTCAACATTTATAGTAATTTTTCATTCTCACAGGTTTAAAACCTTAGATAGTATATTAGGAATAAACATTACATTTAGACTTTCAAGAAAGTTTTTGTGAGACGGAAAATACTCTCTAAATGACGCAAAATTCGAGATCGGATAAAGTGGATGCTTAGTGCATTCTATCGTCCCTTTTTTAACTGCAATAGTTATGTCTATATAAGAAGGGAAAGAGTTCTCAAAGTCTACCTAATTTCCAATACCTGACTTAGATGTTTGAATTTGTTTTGGATCGGGGTCCAAGTTTTTCCTTTTTGAGTACACTTGAGAAGACCATGAGTCCTGTAAGGTTGGGAGTTTTGTGGACTTTGGTTTTCTAATGCTATTGGTTCATGCTAATTTTGTGTACTCAGGTTTTCTGGTGTTCTGGTTATTTGATAGGGTGTACAGAGTGTAACATTTGAGGGTAAGGGAATGTCAAAGAAGAATAAGTCTTCCTTATTTTCCAATATACTCTCCTCTCGATAATAAAGTTGATTAAAGAATGACTAGGTCTTAACAATAGTAACATCAGTGGATATATAAAATTTTTGGATGGAAAGGTGGTAGCATTTATATCTGTTCTATGTAGGTGAGTACCCATGAACACACACTTGATAGAACTTGGAGCAAGTTTCCCCCTTTGAGATTGATGTATGCGAACATAGGCAACACATTTAAAGACTCTTGGGATAAGGTTGTTTTGTGACTCTTACATTAGGAAATAAAATAGCTAAGACTCCACGTGGTTGCGAAATGTTAACACCCTAAATACTGACATATTTATAAGATATGTGATAGTCAATACAATTTTCCTCCAGTAGCGTTTGGATACATGATTTTTGAAACAAAAAAGCACGTATAGTAGCAACCAAGTTGTTATTTTTCTATTCTATCACTTTTTTTTTCTAAATAAAAAGTATAAGTATATTAAGTAAAAGACGTCAAGGGAGTGCCACCCATGTACAACACTAGATTACTAGGGTAAATGGTTTCCAAAGTATCTAGTGGTTTCCAGTCTAGTGGTTTCTCATGGGTCTTTCAACAAGTTTTCAAGATCCGAATACATCTCCTGAGTTGCTTTCCAAATTTCATGTGCTGTATTGTAGAACAGCTAGTGCACCCAATGTGTGGTTCTCTGAAGTTGTTCATCTAGGGCATTGCAATGTATTTATCGGCTCCAATGACCTGTAGTTAGCGTTAGTCTTGGCTGGAGAAGGGATTTCACGAGTGAGATAACACTCTTTCCCTTTTCCTTGGATGACTAACAACACAGATCGAAACCATTCACGGAAATTTGATTCATTCAATCTGTGGTGGGTGATTTGCAGTGAGTGATTCACTTCTATTAAAGAAAGAATATTATATTACTGGTATTCCTTGGAAAAATAGTGGACGATTCTTCCAAGGACGATGTTTGACTCGTTCTAGACATGGTTACAGTGAAGAAAAGGTTAATGATTTTATGTTTTCTTGAGCTAGTAAGAAACTTTGCTCTGATACTATGAAATCAGAGTGATTGAATAGAATTTTCTGATCTGTATTTTGATTTACTCTGTACAGTATATATAAACATCTACAGAGAAAACTTAGGAGACATTCTAGAAGAAAAAATCTAATAAGATTAGCTGCCTAAATCAGCCTAGAATCAAGGATTCTAATTGAAAAAGAAATCATGCTAGAATCAGGAAACTTTAACCGGGGTGTCCTAATCTTTAAATAAAGAGGGAAATATAACCTTGAGGATAGAGAAAGAAGGGTGTCTTAATCTTCTGTGCCATTTCAGATGCATTCAGGAAGTATAATCCGTTTCGAGCTTCAACATGTCCAATCATTTTTTGTAAGTTTTGGTCCTGAAATTCAGAGAGAAGAAGAGAAGATCACTTAACAATTTGGGTCATGTGATAATTTAGTTATTGGTATTGGATTTGTGCATACTTTGGAAACATGAAGTACATTAGTACGAGTAAAGTGAGGACTGAATTTTATGTTTCCAACTCTTGTCAATGTGGCTAGTGAACTATCAGCAGTAATGATTTTCTTATTGCTGGCATGAGAAATAGGTGTTAAAATGTTTAAAAGAGTTGATCATGTGGTCTGGTGGTTCTTGAGTTTATAATCTAGGGCAAATATAAAAGGTTTATCTAAAGGCATTTAAACCATGAAATGTAAATAACATACCTGAATGTGCCTATAGACTTCTACCTCTTGGTTTTTCCAGAGAGTCAAGTCTAGTCCTCAAACACTCGATTTTTGCCCTAAAATCACTAAGATTTATAGTCTGCTCTTCCCCTTGTTGGTTGCCAACATGTGCCTTTTCTTGAGGGATTAGGGCATTGTTCTTGTACCCCAATTTTTAGGGAATTTTTCCCTTGATGTGCCTTGGTTTTTTGCAGAAAGTACACTAGAGATTATTTCTGTTCTCTCGACCAGTTGCTGGCATTTCATTGTGACTCGGCTCCTTGCATGTTGGGTGGTTTGGAGCCTTTACTTATTATTGTTGAGCTTTTAGTGGAGCAGAGTTCTAGTATAACTTTTCTCCTGCTTTCTTTTGCAACTATAATTGAAATAACTTCATTCAGTGAAAACATGTCTTTTTTTCCCCAATATTTAAACTCGTACCTGGTCAAATTCTGCATTAAGATCAACCAAGAATTTGTATGCTCTATCCTTTTCCACAAAATTCTTCAGGGCCACTGCATCTTTTTTATTGCAGTCCATAGTGAGACAACGATACTGATCCAGTTCCTCCACCAATTTTTCAGTAGATTAGCTTACTATGTCGCTTATTTACTTTCTTGCTTTGCAGACCAAATTTTTACTACATACAAGTGTTGCTTCTCTCTGATAACATTGAATTCTAGAGCGAAGCCATTATCATTGAATATTCTCCATATCATGCATCAAATTGTAGATCTCCCGATTTTGAACCGGTGCCAGAATATGACTGAGTTTCCTGTTTTTTTAGCATTGTTTGAGTCAGTTATGACTAATTCCGGTAATTTTTCCATTAAGACATTCTGCCTGAATTGGTTGGAATTTCCCATTTGATTGAAAAGTTCCCAATTTTTTCTTAGTGCCAGTGACCTGTGAGGTTGCTTTAGACATGGCCGGAAAATTCAGGCAATGAAAGCTGGTTCAATAGGTGATGGCACTGCTTGTTGCAGCTAGATAACAAGGGCAGCATCTGGAGGAACTGCTGCGGGCGGTGGTTGGAGCAAAAACCAGAGGTCATAGGTGGAGCAGAGGCAGCATGCTGTGGTGGGTGTTCTGCTGGGTATGTGCAAGGCTGGTTGCTGAGCAGAGAGCAGCGCACAGTGGTGAGCGAGCTGCTGGGTGACTGTGCATCGCTGGTCGCTCTGCTGGAGCCTTATGAGCCAGTTGTGCTGCTTCAGGGAGTAGCAGCTGGTTGCTGGTGGTGTGTGGCATTGGGTCTTGCAACTAGGGATTTTCCAGCCATGAAGGCTGGTGATGATAGTGGTGGCTGTATATGAAGGCTAGTTTGTTTAGGTTCTTATTTCAGCAATGAAGGTCGATTAGGATTTGTAACTGAGTTAGGATTTTTTTTCACTTATGACTCTGATATCATGTGGAAGAAAAGAATGTTTTATGTTTTACTGAATATTAGGACCTTATGTATACATCTTCTCATGAACAATAAAAGAAAACACATAATTAATTAAATAATAAAAGAAAATACATAATTAATTAGACATGTGGGTATTCATCCTAATTACATTTAGTATACACTTAGTAAATGAATTCTAATACGCTAAGGATGTTCTCATACAATCTAAATAGGAAGCATATTACCTAGTAAAATTATAAAATCGTAATCTATGTAGAGATTTAAATATTGTTTTGTTCTTTGCGCATAAGGATTCCTATCCTCACTACTTTTTTTTTCTGTAATTCCATCTGCCTTTATTTTTTTTTTCTTTTGAGGAAAAAAAAAAGAGTATTTCATACCAAAGACGTGTACACGAGAGAGAGGAAGATTACACAACAGAAATAGCCAACCCTCAGAAGGTCCCTAGATATTCTTCACTGATTGGAGGATGACCTTTAAACAAGATATCTAAGGTCTGGAGCCATAGATCTGTAATTCTACAAAAGCCATATACATGACCTTCAGAAGTCTTCTCTGCCTTCCTCTCCGCATAGTCCAAAAAATGTAATAATGAATAAGGACGATTATGTTCTTGCTCTTGGCTGAACCAGCATCATCCCTAGCAAGGAGCTCAGCTGAGTGAGATCCATTCACCACCAACTGGATGTCCAATGATAAACGAGATGCTGAAACAGATAACCTTCTTAATAATATGTCTTATTCTGTCAAAATAGTGTAGAAATTGAAATCTGAAATAATCTTTAAAAGTTCTTAATACTTTAGATCATATAATACTAATAATATTTAATTATTGTCCTCAACATTATTCTTACCCATTTGAAAAAATTGTCCTCGTGTTTTAGAGTGTTGTAAGATTAAGAAATTTGATTTAAGAATGTCCCAGACTTTTTTCTTCTTTTTTATGAAATCTCTTGTTGATTTCCTTCACAAGAAAATAAAATGAATCCAAGAAATTAGTAGGAGTTAATGAAACCAAGTAGGTGGAAGAAAAATCAAGAAATTCACAGACATGCTTCTTAATTTTCTTCTCGAGCCTATATTTTGGAGATTATTAACATCGTAAGTAGTCTCTTAATTCTCTTCATGACAAATACTGGAACTAGGCTTTTAAAAAATTTCTTGTATGTGAACTTGTTTATGGGCTTCCTTCACTTTTTCTTCTACGTTATCTTCATCTCTTCTCTAATGGTTCTTCATTTTGTGAAGAAATTTCAAATTGTCTCCTCGTGTGAGATTTATAGATTCGTTCTCAATACAATTTCTCTTTCCTTTCATGTTCCATGTGAACTCTTTCTGAGCTGTTTGGGAAGTTTGGTCAGTATCTTGTGATCTGTATGAAATACTCTTTAAGAGTAAGAGAAAATTTCTTCTAATTTCTTCTTTAACTATGGGGAATGTTCTTGTAAATTTTGATTTTCTTGTTAATAAGGGAGAAAACCCAAGCTGTGTAAGATGGAGTCGTTTTAGCGAAAGTTGAGGACCGAGGCACAATATGAACCACAAAACTTTTAAATTTTCCTTTTTCTTCACATTTTCTTTAATTTGTAAGTATCTGTTGGCTGAATATATTCATTAGAGTATTGAATCTCCATTTTTAGGTACATGATGAACTTGTGCTGGAAGTTGATCCTTCTGCTATAAAGGAAGCTGCATTGTTGGTGAAAATGAGCATGGAAAGTGCCGCGTCTCTTCTCGGTATGTGGCAAATTCATTTGATATTTTATGATAGTTTTATTAATAAATATTGACCATAGTTCCTTTTATATGTCTTGCCAGTTCCTTTACATGTCAAACTGAAAGTTGGAAGAACATGGGGCTCTTTGGAGAATTTCCAAGTTGATCAATGTACTGGTGAAGCTATTCTTCCAAATGCTTAGGTTGGTTAACTATTCAGCCAGTCCTTTTACATGTCAAATTGAATGTTCTTGTCTGAGTCTTCCCAGGCTGATCAATTTACCAATGAAGCTATCCCTCCCTGCGTTTAGTGTGCTGAGAAATATTGCATTCTTGGTTGAGAGTTTGGTGATATTGGAGGGACAGAATTGACGGCAATATGGATCAAAGTATAGTATATGCAATCAATTACTTGAATGTCCACGTGCTGTTATTCAGATTGTCTGGTTCCAGATTTATCTAATAATCAAAGGAGCTGGCTTATGCATTCAAGCTAAAGAAAAAATGTTCTTGTGACAAGGAAAGCCTTGCATGTTTGCTGCTTGAAATAAGCATTCTGACATAATCTAAAAGCTTGTTGAAGAATAATAACGGCGGTAATATCCTGCTTCTCCAGAGTAGACTAGCTGACATGCCCACTAGATGCAGACTTAGTTGTATCATACGAGGATGTAATTTAAGTGCTCGGTGAACTCTATCTTTAACATGCAAGACTTCAAGGTATAATGTCAAGCAAGCATATGTTTTCTTAAGCAGCTGGCGACAAGCTTAATCGCTTTCGAAGATAGGCACATTAAGAGAAATTGTGGACCCTTGCATACTAATTTATTAGAAAGGTATTTTCTTTTTTAATCATTTCTACTGCATTAGTTTACTATATATGCTTCTTGAGTCTGGTTATTGAATACGCTTGTGATTTTCAATCAAAGTGGTAGGAATATCTGATGCTCTAGGCAATATTAATTAATTTGGAGCCTTTGGGTTGGTTTCGGGGCCTAGGATGAAATGTATTCTATTGCTTCCATCAGATGTCTGATTTATTGGGTACAGGCTCAATATGTTTTGCTCTTGGATGTGGCATTATTCTCTCAAGACTCTAGCAGAGTTCATGTCAGATTATTGCTGCTGATTTAGGACTGCTTGTCATTGTCAGGGATCAGCTGAGAAATGATCATTTGTTTATTAATTTTTTTTGTTAAAGTTGAGAAATTATAATTTTGATTAGTTTTTAGTAAGGCTTAGAAGATAGTTTTCTCCTTCATGAGAAATAGTTTGTTTAGATGCCTTGATGAAATAATTAGTTCTTACAATTGGCTTTCAGAATTCTATCTAGCTGAATCGTCACAGCAAGCTGAAAACATAACTTCAAAGATAATTCATAGGAAGGAATAGAGTTGGACCACCTTTCAAGTTTAAGCCCATATTAAGCAGAAAATGAAATTCACATGTATGTTATGCAACTAATATTCAATTCTTTATCATTATGTTAGCATGCTGACATTTGAATTGCCTAACTTCCCTCCCTCTAAAGATTTCATCAAACTAGTCTAGTCCTTGAATCTTTTTGACTGAATTATGACAGGAGGATTTTCTTTTGACCATTGAGTGGTGGTGAGTTGAGATCAAAGGGAAAGGTAGATTTTTGATTTTCTGTAGGGTTTTGCACATGTTCTGATTAATTTTTATTTGTAATAGAACCAGAGATATTAATTTTTAGCATACTCTAATTTTCTTGTGCGGTTTTGTTTTTTAAATTTTCTGATGGTTTCGCTCTGCATAGGTTTAACTCCCAAGCACTTATTAGTAGCTGCGCTCTGACTTTGTAAAGTGTATTTGGTCTAACTCTGATAGATTGGAAGGTGACAAATTGTGACAAATTGTGACAAATTGTTTGTCTTTCTTTTTTAAGTTTTTTGTTTCCCCCTTTTTTGCGGTGAATCTTTGATTTTTATTATGAATGGAATCCTGTTGATCTACTTCTTGTCTGCTCACTTTTAGTTTTATTTTATTCTTGTTTTTCTTTTTTTTTTTTGGTGATTACTTGATTATTATTTTTGAGGGAACCATATATTTTTAAATGCACAACCAGTAATAGCATGAACGTAGGACCATTTATAAGAGAATATCTATTATTGAACATATGACATAAAACACATAACTATGCAAACATTACAAGTATAGGCATAACTGAACGTAGATTAGGTTCGAGTGCATTATTCTAAAACTGAAAGGTTGAGCTGTTCCAGGTAAAACCATATTGATTGACTTGGTTGAACTATGGGCGTCTGAGTGGATTATGAAGGTTTCTACTTGGGAACCCAGAGAATATGATCCTCGGGAAGGAAATGACAGATTGGAATAGTTCCTGGCTTCACTTTGAGCACTTGAAAAGCCAAATGCTTTGGGTTCCATGCTGATGTATCCTCGTGGCAGACTGCTACCGCTTTTGCTTTTGTCCCATCGGCACCCTCCAAGGGAACTATGTAAGAACTCGTGGTTTGTGTTGCGTGGCAGAAGAACACTGCATATGGATACTTCTGCTTGTGACATGCTACAGATTTATCGACTTTTCTCATCTTTATTCCTGCAGCAATTGTGTACTTCTGCATCGGGGTTTGTTTTTCTACCTCTGTGGAAATTGCCTGGACATTTTTGCCAAGCTTTGAAATGCAGAAATCTACCATTGATTCTAATGAAGTTGCACAATATTTTTCCTCTCCTTTGATCCCACTTTCCTCGCATTCTTTGATGGTTGTTTTTATCATATCAGCTGCCACTGATCCAGGCTTGAGGGAAAAATGGTTCAAGATTTCTGGAAACTTGCCAGATGAAAATGGAATTGATTTTGCAACCTGGCGTGGCAAGAATGTTGCTGAATTTGAAGTTTCAGTGAAATGCAAGTTCATTGTTTTTCCAGGGTTAATGTCCTTTTCCAAGAAAAATAGAGTTACACTTGGGTCATGAAGTTGATTCTCGGTGGCAGCATATAAGTAGTCAAATGGACTTCCTGAACCTACTCCAACATGGACAGGCTTCCCCTTGTACCCTGTGTTTACGGAAACCCCTCCCTTGCCAACTCCAACGTTGGTTCCCCCAGCAGTGCTAACTCCAACTCCCTTGCCTCCAACATTCACATTGGTGCCACTGCCTGGTTTTCCTTTGCCTGTATTGACATTTACTCTGCCATTTCCAACATTGACAGAAGTCGCCCCAGGCTTTCCTGCATTAACATTTACACTTCCCTTTCCTATGCTAACATCGGTGTTTTTGTGTTCCATGAAGACTGCAAAAATGATGACAGTGTTGTAAGAGGTTATGAGAATAGTGACTAACACCTTAATTGACAAGTTTTAAGCATTTCAGAGACCAACCTGGGTGCAGAAGATCTTTGACAACTTTTGGCATGGGAGTAGTCGGCAACATGGAATTCCAGTAAAGTTCAGGAGGTAGAGCAGCATGACTTGCCACAAGAGTAAGCTGCAACACAAATTTACATCATTTCATTAGTTTACAATCAGAGGAAGCAAAGCAAAGAAACATGCAGCATAAGAAAATCGAAATGGATTCACAAGCACACGATTCTACAAGAGAAAAGCTTACAGTGAGCAAAGCAAGGATGTGTAATAGATTGAACTCCATTAATTGATGGATATTCTGTTCAGGAGAAGAAGCCAAAAAATAACTCTTGTTTACATGGAAAGAAGACCAAGTGAGCTTGGAAATTTATAAGGTGAATTGGGTGACTGAAATAAATAGGGTGAATAGGAATATACCACCAAAATGTTGGACCAGATTAATTACTTCACCTGTCCCTGGCTGCCTTAAATGGCAGTGTTCAGTGTGGGACAAGTGTAGCTATGTAATGAGTGAAGAAAAGCGTTTAGAAATTGTAGTTCTACTTGCATTAGGTGACATCAACCATGCCCAAACACGGAACATTTATAATGCTATTTATTGCTTGAACACATCCTCACTTTCTTTCACTAAAATCTGTAAAAATTTGATTGTTTAGTTTGATTTTGATGCCAGGGTCGGTCTTAATTCACCTGGACTTTTGGCTCAAGGCTAACTAACAACTACCCCATTTATGATTCCATGACCAGGTACTTCTAATTTAGCTTTGTTTTTCTCTTTTCGTTTCTTTTTTCTTCTTTTAATTGAGTTTTTGTCATAATTTACTGGATGCTCTATACGACTGTCAGATAAGTTACTTTTTCCCTGTGTCAAACATTCCATGATATGGCACACCATACATTTTATGTTCCTTGAGATTAATTTTTTCTGTTGAGGAATCTCCAGAAATAGTGGAAAGATTGGGGAGGGTCGACATGTACATGAGCACATTAAATGGCATATAAGGTACTTGTTAATGGGTGAGTAGTGTGAAGTATTTGGTTTGGAGGGGCAAATACATCCAGTTGAAGTTATGAAATAAAAATGTTTTCTTACTGGTAAGAGATGGGTGGGAAGATTGAAGGTAGGACACTGAGAAAATCAAAATTATAGAAAATAACATCTCATAATTTCGGGATATGAATTTTATGTAGATTTAAGATTTGATCCAATTAAAAATCTAACTTCATACATGCTTTTCTCAATTCTACAAGTTTTTACACCAAACTCAGTTAAAAAATTATTAGTACGACATATATATATATTCAGTAATAATTAAAAATCGATCATCTAAAGTTCAAGATAGACTTTACCATCCAAGAATTGAAGGTTGATTAATCACTTTCCATGTCCGTGGAGAAACAAAAACAGAAAGTGATGCCTTAAATCTTAAGAAGTACAAAGATAAAAAAGATATTAAGTTTTCTAACTCTTGTGCGAACGACTAGTATTTGCAAATTCCTTTGTCTGAATTACACGAGAACTGATGTGAGAATGCAGTGACCACATTACATGACATGGCACACCATACATTTTAAGTTACTTGAGATTAATTTATCCTATTAAGAGATCCCCAGAAATATTGGAAATAGTAAGGAGGGTTGACATGTTCATGAACGCATTAAATGATGTATGAAGAATTTGGTCTGGAGGGGGCAAATACATCCAATTGGAGTGATGGAATAAAAATGCTTCAGCCGTTGTTGGTAGGAGATGGGTGGGAAGATAGAAGGTAGGACACCGAGAAAATTAAATTACAAAATAACATTTCATAATTCGTGATATGGGTGAAAATAAACAAATTAAAAATAAATAATAATAATAACGCTTTTCTAGAAAAAAAAAACACAAGGATTAATATTATTAAATAAATAAATAATATATATATATTTAATAAACTATGATTATTTTGATATGATAATGGATGATGTCATAAAAGAAATTTAAATATATATTTTTTCTTTTATTTTTAGTCGTTTTTGCTATTATTGTCATCATATTATTATTTGATGTCAGTGTATTATTAAATTCTTTCAGCTTCCTCAGTGTAAGTACTCCGTACGTATCTACTTGCTGGGATTG